TCCGGTCAAGCGTCAAATTAATAAAATTACAATTAGGAATTAAAATGCCATATTAAACAGAGGGGTGGATAAAACCCAAACATAGTAGCATCATAATTACTGAGGTGATTGACATATTGTGCAATTAGGGCTTAGAAATGTAGAAATAACAACAATAGACAGGATGTTCGAATAGGAAACTAATGTGATGAATAATTGTTTATGCAATCAGGGATTAAATATGTAGAAATAATAAAATGACAAAATAAACAGGAAGTGTGGATATGAAAATATGGTAGTGTAGACAGGGATTAAGAAAAACTTAACATAACATGAATAAACAGGAAGTTTAGATAAGAAAGGCGATGGGATGGTCATTACTAAAAATTTTTTACCTGTTTATGATGGTCATGGCAGGGATAGGGGTTGAACTGTATTACATTTACTGCACCTTTATCAATAAATATCGTTTGACACTGATATCTTTATGATGAAATGAAATGAACGAGGCAGTAAGTTCAAAAGTTTACCGTATAGTTGCGAATTCTCATGAAATTATGCTGGTGTATTTCGCCTGTTTCTTGAAACGACACAATACCACCGGATAAAGCATTTGGTACCACTTCAGAAAAGCTATGTGGTATATAATCTTCCGTTAATTCTAATTCACTGTTATTAGTTACTTCATGTATCACCAGTATAATGCAGTTCTTGTAGAAATATGTCTAGTAGAAGTATTAAAAAGATTCTTGACCAACTATATCCTATTATTATTATTATTATTACTATTATTATTATTATTAAGTTGATTACATGTAAAATAATAATGTCTTCCAATAGTTTCTGAAGTATGCAGTGATTCTGTGCGTAAATTTATTGTGTGAACGAAATCTGTTCTTAAGGTAAATAACATGATTGTTAGGAATAGAATTTTCAATCATGTTCAGTATGTATTTATTAACACTTATGTCAATATCTGGGCTGTTAGCAGCTGGAGAAAAGCTGTCAGATAAAAACTCAGCCCTTTTTATCGTTTTGGCTTTGATCAAAGTAATCAAGGAAACTGGGTGCTTGAAAGACTACCAACCGTATTCAAGAAGAAAAAAATGCATACCCTAACACAACTTCATCAAAAAATGTCTACATTAGAAATAAAATTTGATGCTCCTGTTATGTTGTTTCCAAAATTATGTATTATTTAATCCACTTATTTAACTTTCGTAAACATTTATACCTTGCACTACTGCATTAATTTCCTTGTGTAACTATTAACAACTTGAAAAACTGACATTAACTAATTATTGTTAATAAACTTATCCCTACTAGATTGGTAAAATTTCGCACTGTATAAATTTATGATTTAAGTTGCTGACATATTACACAGTAAGTCTTCACTTACTTTGTAAAAATGAAGACTGGATGCTGCATCTTTTCCACCACCTTCCTCAAAGTCTGAATACATAGTGACCTCTTTAGGTGCATTTAACATCCTTCTTCATCCAGATTTACCCTTCATAGGATAAACGAACTATTTGATAATTTATGTTCACATTTGCCTCAATATTAACACAAGATGGCTATTGTATAATACATGAAGCTAACAATTTCAAGATTATGCGTATATATAATAATAATTATTATTAGCATGCGAAATACATTCTTTTATTGTCATGATATGCCTCTCAGTTAGTTGCTGTAAATTTGTTTCCCCGCGGAAGCAAGTACATAGAAAGGATTGAGAGGAGAGTGTTCCGTTGACCTTCTGAGCATAGCCCTAAAAGTCTCCATATGAAAGATAGCAAAGTGTTCTCCGGTGCGGTTGCCAGATATCTAATTAACATACAGTGGAAATTAATCAGGCTTTCAAAATAATCGATATGCAAAGAAAACCATGGTTACTTCCTTACGCATATATCATTGCTATCAAAAGATTTTGACCCAATCTCTGTGTACAGGAAGATAGCATGACTAATCTCCCAATATCGTGGTAACTAAATTGCTTTGTTCATGTGATTTTCAATTTCGGTCTGTTGCACAACATTTCACTGAATTTCGATTCTGATTTTCACTTACTGAGTTCATCTCACAGTTAAGTCTCCGAATACACTTAATTATTTGTCTATATCATAATGTTACTTTGAGGTTCACTCCCGACCGCTTGAATTCTACATCATTCTATGTATAAATTCACCCTGTTGTTCGATCTTGTATTCTGCCTCGAGTCAATCTTTCTTTCCAAGTCGAATCTGAACTCTCCTTTCCTCCTGTCTAATCGTACTATGAATAGTTAATCTTCTAACACCTACATGATTTCTGGAATCATGTTGCTTATACTTTCTATCTATAAGTTGAGGTCACTGTGCGAAAAGTATGATGAGAATTTTTTTAAACTTATACCATTTGTTATTTACTAGGGTGTAGGCAGTTGAAGGGAATCCACGAAACGAAGCGAGCTCTTGTTGTCCTGCAAATCTATTGTTTCAAGTGTTGGTTTTCAGGGTTTTGATTGGTTAGAGGATTTTCATCTTGATCTAACTTCGGTTGGAGAACCATTGGAAAACCTAGGAGTACTGGACAGCTGTTTCCTCCTAGTTTGAGACTGTCCACAGTATGCAAACCTCAGGGGTACGAGATGAAGACTTTCCGGTTACAAAGCGATCTCGTAGACTATTAATGCACTAGAACACAAACCAACGGCCTATGAATTCCAACTTCTTCCAATTCACGATATAGAGCAACCACTAGCTAATGTCTTCGGCTAGTATTTTTCTTTTTTCTTTCTTTCGTTCTTCAAACTAATAAAGGGAGCCGGTTTTATAAAATAATCAATGTAAGCGTAGGACTTGGGGATTGGGGTGGAAGGTAATTCCATATTAGATAGGTTTATTTTACGCATCACACGGTGACGCAATGGTTGACATTTTTAGCATAATTTATTGCTCATAATCATATCACTTTAGTCACACGGGTTCATAATTTGTCTTATATGCATTTCGCTCTTTCACTCTTCTCCTTGCCACTCTCTATATCTCTGGTATAGGCCTTGAATCATTTTTATTTCACATGTGAGGTGTTGAGTCGGTCGGGGACTGTGGTAGACTATAATTTCCATATTAGATAAGTGTATTTAATATAATACAAACAGTGATACCGTAATAATAACGGGATAACAATGTTTCGAGTGCATTTTATCTCTTATATCCATATTAAACAGCATTCACGCGGTTTCATAATATGTTTCACATACATATTTTTTGTCTGTCTATCCCTTATTCTATATTGCAATTTTCAAAATCTCCTGTATAGACGTCGCATCATTTCGATGGCATGTGTCCAGATTTGATTTGATGAACAACAGTTCAGTGATCAACCTTTCGTTCCACCTGACCACTATATTACTTTTTATATTTTTACTCTGTTCCACTGAATTATGTGATTACACGTAATTGACTGCAATGTAGTGGCTGAGCCATTCTCTAGATTGTTTAACTTAGCAGTATCAATCATTCTAGCCCTAACTAAATTATTGTTCCAATACTCTAATTGACCCTGGACTACTAGTTTAACCTATGTAATTGACGTCATAGTCATTAACAAGCATTTGGTAAATTGTATCATGTTTCTTGACTGGATCTATGAAAGTCTTTAAGTAGACAGAATCTATCTCTTAGAGACTTCATTGGTTCCAATACCACACCATTTAAGGCCTCATTGAGAATTCTAATTGAGGCCTCTGACGTTTCTTCTTTATACAGCAGTACTACTGAGGCTTTGAATTCCATATTATTTTTGTTAATTTTGTCATTTCTATTGTTAATCTTATTGTTTCCCATGGGTCCTTGTATATTTCTGAATACATTCTGGAGGATAGTTACTCAACAGTAGTATTTTCTTTGTTTGTTTGATTTCATTATATAAATCTCCTGGCTTACTAGTAAGACTCCTGGCCCATTTGTATGGACATTTAACTAAGCCTATCTTTATCGATTCTGGATGGGACGAATTAAAGTCTAACTAAATATTAGAGTGTGTCAACTTCCTAAAAATGTTAGGATCTAACCGACTATCCTGTTTTCGTTTTATTCTACAGTCCAGCATGCAAAACTCACCTTGTTCACTTCATAATTCAAAAGCGAATTGAATTCCGTCTAATATTGAGTTTATATGTGTGAAGAACTGAGAGATATGTTCAGATTTTGACACACTGAATATGTTACCCACATATCTTCACCGTAACCTAGGAGCAGGATTAAGCGTTCTAAGAGCTTTTTGCTCCCACCTATCCATAAATATATCTGCTGCTTCTGTGGATACTGATGATCCCATTACTACCTCATTCGTTTAATCATGTAGTTTATTTTGAAATTTGAATACAGTGGAGGTTAGACACATAACTGAACACCTAATATTATTTCATCAACCGAGCGAGAGCTTAGTCCTACTTCTGAGTTCAGGATAAATGTTCAGTTCATTCCTAACAGCCTCCAGAGCTATATTAATGCGAATATTAGTATATAGACTGGTTATGCCGAAACTAATCATTTTTCCATCTTTTTCTAATTGAATTTCCTGTAGTTTCTGTTTCATTATATGGGAATTAGTTAGCCTAGAATTTGACCTTCTCTGATTGGGTGTAATACTGAAGCTGAATATTCAGATATCTCTTATGTTGGTGTGTGCCTAAAGGCAACTATTAGGCTAACAGAATATCCTGCCATACATTCTACTAACATTATTGGTTTTAGGCATTAGATTTAACCATTCTGACTCACCTAAATGTGTCTTCATACGGCATACTAGATCATCTGTAGATTTTTAGATTTGATGCAGAATAGTGTCCACAGGATTTTTAATTGCATTATCCTTGAGACTTCTCAAGAAGTCAGAAACGTATATCTCTGATATATTATAATACTTTAGAAGCTGCTTTTTTAGAAATTCTTACCTATGCAAAGTATCTGCTGTGCAGGCAGAACCAATCTGGAAGTCACACAAAATAACACTATTATTCCAAGAATTATATTATATTGAATGCTTGATAATACGTGAGAAAAATTTGATAGAACCAAAAGGCATTCATCAGTGTTCCGGGGAAATTTCTGTTTTCCGTTGATTTTGGAGTTTATGACATTCACTTGACTGTTCATTTGTGCGAAACACCCAAATTGTTGTACTTCGGCTATTTACAATTTGACTACACACGGCTAATAAACACATGAGCATGGTAGTCCATAAAGGAAACACTGAGAAAACAAGGCGATGTCTCGCAGGTGGATCTTGTTGTGGTAACTGTTGAAATCCATTGTAAGGTAAACCATCTACATATCCCTCCAAATACAAGCAAACAACAGTCTGTCCAGCCAATTTCCACAGCATAAAACTCACTATCAATGTCCGATTGAGTTTACTCCCCGCATCATAATCACCAAATATTTGAGGAAGTCTAAAATGTACAAATAGGAAATACGGTGAGCCCAAGTGATAAGGAGACGCCAAAAGCACATTTATTCATTATCAGTTGATGATCAACCACTTCTACTCTCATGGTAACAATGTTTCGATTTTTTTTAATTTTTTATTTTTATTTTATTTTATTTTGATAACTTAATTTTGTTTCTTTGCCTGTTCCTTAGTTGCTTATAGTTCTTGTATTCACTTAGATCTCTTACATAGCTTCGTATTATCTACTTTGTTTCTATGTGCATCCTGAGTACAACTCACTATTATTATTACAACTGTTTGTGACAACTCATCACCTTTGTTACTACCCTAGTTTCACTAACACTTAATTTTCTTGACCTGTATTACCAACCTTCACTTGTTTAGTTAAAATTAACCTTAACCAATTGTAACTTTTGTTTGCTGTTTGTGTCTTTTTTCTTATGACTCAATATGGGAATATTTCGTTCATTGTAACTTTGTTTGACAAACCTAATGTACACATACATACAAAACAATGCATATATATTTGCGATTGTACAGCTAAGAAGATGAATTCGCCGAAAAGAGACTCTTCGCTGATCTACGTGTTTTGTTTTCATTAATGCCTGGATGGGGATTATCCATGAGTTGATGATCAGTTTGATGATCACTTACCTTCCAGACATGAACAGTACATTTGTGATGAGTAGAATAAAATCCACAAAGCACATTGGTATCAATACAATCAACCAATTGTTGATTATAATCCCATTGGACTGTGAAATTTGTGAAAATAAGAATATGCAGCATATTGTCCACAAAGTTAGCACTTTATTGATAAGTAGCATTGCCTGTAAAAGAGAAAGTTGACACCAAATTATATAACAAAATTGGATATTATCTTTGAGGACTGTATAACACTGCATACAGAAAACAGAATAATTTAGCAAAAAGAAATGAAAATAAAAAAAATCTGCTTTTCTATTGCCGCATCATATCAAAATTGCAGATTGCATACACTTATGATTTCAGGAAAGTTCATACGGGTCCTAATATATCAAGTCTCATTCCTTCTTCAAAGACAGCCAAGATTTTTCATGAAAATGGCATGTCTATGAATCACTAGTAACCTACATAACTCAATTAAAAAAATTCCTCGTCTGTAGATGACAGAGAGTAAGGATCAACTCCAGACTCTCTTCCTGAATAGGGTTAGTGTTCTCCCTCGCCTCTTATTTATGCTGTGTATCAACGGACATCCTGGGCTCACTAAATCTCCTATGGTCCTCTAAGTAAGTGACGAGAAAATTGGACAGACCTGAAGGATGACAGTGACACGCTTACGCTACTAACATATCTCAACAATCTATTAGGTTGGTCGCGAAATGCATGATTCCTATCAGTGTAGCAAAGTGCGCAAACATTCAACAAGTATCTTGCATAACACAGATAACACATTAATTTATGATAAAGATAACCCACCAACCAGAACGAGCATTAATTACTATCAGTGAAAAAAAAATTGAAAAGAATAACTTCTTTCACTTATCTAAGGAGCATCGTTTCAACTACATAATGAACGGATGAAGATGTCAAAATGAGAATCGGAAAGGCAAGGCAGACCTTCATCACTCGAGGATCAGTTACGAAATCCCGCAGCATAAACAATGAAATTCAGATTTTCAACACCAAAGTCAGGTCAGTTCTTCTATGTGGGTCAGAAACTTGGCACAAGTGTCACGAAAAGCATTTCTAGCAGGATGCAGGCTTTTATCAACAGCCCTATTCGGTGACTCCTAACTGATGATCAAATGGACGGAAAGAATTAGCGAAATGAAACCCAAGAGACCAACCAATCAAGCACCTATTACTCAACAAATATGCAGAAGAAAATGGAGATGGACTGGACACGCTGAGCAGACCAATAAGTGATGTTGCGCACCAGGTCATCTCTTTAGTCTAACCCTGATGGGAAACGACGAGTTGGGTATCGGTCTGAGGGTGACATGGAGGAGAAAGTATAAGGAGGTGAAGACAGCTTGGGGACTATAGAGAACAGGGTGAACTGGAGATCTGCTGCTGAAGCCCTACATTTCACTCGAATTTCAAGGGAATAATAATAATGCTGACATATTTCACAGAAAGTCATTACTTATACTCTAACGATGAAGGTCATCATCCTTAGCCACTCACTAGCCAAGCATTTGATATTTCGTGTTTATACTCTCCATAATATTAACACAAGATGATTACTGCATAAAATATAAAAGCTAACGCTTTCATGAACATGTGTATCTATAACACAGTGATTATTATTACGAATAATATATGTGAAATATATTCTTTCGCATAGTATACATCAATTCAGACTCACGGAAATTGTTGAATGTGTGTCGTTGTTGCTTTGTTTGAATTCTCAAATTCTATCTGATTTTGTTGATGATTCAAATCGACTTTATTCACTTGATAACTTGTTTCCTTCTCTAAAATGATTGAATCACTTAAAAGAATGTTTACCCACTTACTCCAAATTGGAATAAAAAAAACTTTGAACTGTGCTTATTTTTTAAAGGACATTCAAGAAAATATTCAATCAAAACAAGATTAATTCTTGGTAGATACATAAAAATAGGTGCAATTTCAAATATGTTTGAGAAAAAGATATTGGCTAAACACGTATGAAGAATGAATACAGCAAAAAATTAATCAATTTTCCAGAATAGATGATTCAGTTATATCTCAAATGTTTTCTTAATACTATATTGACTTCTGTAAAGTTGTGCTTACACAACATTATATGCAGTAAAATATATATTAACAAAATTCCTCAGAAAACAGATTGTAATTATGATTAACAGAAATATGAAAAAGGGTAAAGAGAAAAATAATTTATCTTTCCTTGTAATGAATTTAAATCGACTGCTGTGTTGTGTTGGTAGCTTTAGTCTTTTGTATGAAATAAACTCTTTAAATTGAGATGACCTTTATTTGTTTGTCGTATTTTTACTATTAATAGACGATTGTTTTTCCACAGACTTTACAGGAACACTTTAATTCACAAATACACGTTGGTACAAACGCATTCGACATCACATCCTTCAAACACAACAGTTAGGTAACTACAGATATGCAAGTTGTTCCTAATACAACTGCAGAAAGTGTATTCTTCAAACAGAATTGAACCTCCTTGTGATAATATTCGTCACATTATTCTTTCCTAGAATTGTAGCCTGCCCTGACTGTCCTTTGAGTTTACTGCTCTTCTAAGCATATTACTGCTCCATGTGGAATTAATTGGGTGCTCATTTCTCTCTCTCTCTCTCTCCGAATATTTGTCAGACACCCTAACCTTCTAATTTTTGCATCATTCGAGTAAATCTTCTTGACTTCCACCAAGCAACTTTGTACCAGGCTGTGAGTCATCTGTCTTGCAATGGCTTATAATGAAAAAATCTGACGCTTTAGTTTACTCTATGTAATGGCATTTGATGCAGGAATAATGATAATCACTTTATTCAAAACAACAATAATTATACATAATGGAATTTTCAGCGTTTTTACATTGATTGCAACAATTTAGCTCCTTTTACAAATACTTAAACACATAAAATTTAAAATAATAATATTAATAATGAAACTACTATAAACAGAATGTTGGTGGAAACACAATGAAGTATAAGCAGGGAGTATCACAGATAATACATGAAATAATACTGATAATCTTTGCTCATACTTTTGCAGTTCAGTTGTTGATTTAAAAAGTCTGTGATTTCTTTTCTGTCATCCGAGTCTTCATAGAAACCTGTGCTAAATATGGTATGGTAGAATTTTTACATTTAGTTGTACGAGCGTAAAACCTTACGAAGTTTCTTCTGGTTTTACCCAAAGATATACAAGGAAATAGGTGTTAGTAAAGAGGATGTTCAGTATCAGACAAGATAACTTTAGCCAAATGCTCGCATGAATTGTTAAGTGCCTATTGACAATAGTGTCAGCTGGTTCAGTCAAAGGCACACCACTAACCATACTTACAGTCTTCTGTGTTCTACGTATTATGACATAATCGTTTTTGAGATGTCCAGGGAAGAATAATGGTGAACAGTAAAGGAGAATGGGCAGAATATATGAATGAAAAAATTGTAAGAGGAGAGGTTGAGTTATGCCAGAAAATTTCAACTTGTTTACGGAGTCAGTCAAACGAAAAACTTTCTTAGAAATGAGACGACCAAAAGAGACTTGAAGAAAAACTGATACCGAGATGAGAGATATTCCATTTACTCCCTATCACAGTGCCATCAATATTACAGGAATAATGAAGCTAAATCAGTCCACTTAAGCCTTGTATGCACCTGAAACTAAAATCAACGATACGACGTTTAGATGGATTCAGGTTAAGACCATCTAGGTGCCATATATATATATATATATATATATACATATATATATATATATATATATATAGTGTGACCTATGTAGTTGACCTCACAGTCATTGCAGGGTATTTTGTAAATTATATTATTTTGTCTAATTGGGTCCACTGGGTCCTTTAACCTACAGAGCTTGTCCCTGAGTGAGTTTGTAGGTTTAAATGCCACCTTAATTCCTGCTTTATTTAGAATCCTACGTAGGGTCTCAGATGTCCCCCCTTTATATGGTGTAACTGTAGATTCGATTACAAAATATTGTGAACGGGAGACAATTGTGATTAATCATCATAGATTTGTAGACTGTGGGGTAGGAAAATTGACAAGTCTATTCAAGGTTATAAAAGGTGTCATGTGAGTGTCTAGTACAAAGTGGTCTGTGTTAAACAAGAGATAGTAAGACTGCAATGAGAGGTTCATAATGAAATATATTGAGAAAGAGTGATATTATCTCTTTTCTCAATATATTCCTACACCTATTTCATTTCACATATTCGTTATTTCATTATGAACCTCTCATTGCAGTCTTACTATCTCCTGTTTAACACAGACCACTTTGTACTAGACACTCACATGACACCTTTTATAACCTTGAATAGACTTGTCAATTTTCCTACCCCACAGTCTACAAATCTATGATGATTAATCACAATTGTCTCCCGTTTTACAATATTTTGTAAACGAATTCAGCCTAGCAAGTTTGTCACACAAATACGACTATTTATTTTGACACCCCATAACTAATCTGTTATTCTACGTTAAATATCACTGAAGATGACTTATATTCTCTCTTATTTGTGTTATTATTACTAGTTTCACAATTATTTTTCTTTTTCTTTTGGTCTTTGTCAATATTCCTAATGAATTTTGAAGGATAGTTATTTAACACCAACGCCTCTTCTATCAGTTTTATCTCACCATTTAAGTCTGTTTTGTGCTACTTAGTGCCATTGCTCGATTTGTTAAACGCTTAACTAAGCCTGCCTTAACAGTTAAAGGATGAGATGAATTAAAGTCTAAATATCTATTAGAATGCATTGGTTTTCTATAAACACTAGTGTGAAGTTTGCCTTCTTCTATTCATTTTATTTTACAATCTAACATAGCTAATTCTCCTTGCTCATTTTCGGCTTCAAATGTGAATTTTATTCCCCCCACTAGTGAGTTTATGTGTGTCAAGAAGCTAGAGAGAGATATGTTCTGTTCTTAACACTTCGTGTGAAAGTGTCATCCACATATCTCCACCATATTTTTGTAGTAGGATTAAACGTATTAAGAGCCATATTTTCCCAGCTATCCATAAATATATCTGCTACGATAGGGGATATTAGCGATCCCATTGCTACACCTTCAGTTTGTCTATATATTTCACCTTGGAATTTATAGATAATATATGTGAGGCACAACTGAATTCCTCAAATAAAACGAAACTGCCCATTGATGAAATAATATAATTTACCAAATACCCTGCAATGACTGTGAGGTCAAATACATAGGTCAAACTAGTCGGTCAGGGGTAGTCAGGTTGTCAGAACATAAGAATTTAGCTAAGGTAAGAATGGTTGACCCAGAGAAGATAACTAATTTAGAAAAAAGCTCAGGAACGTCATCATTAAACATTACTGTATAACACTATGAGACTTTATCAAAACAAAATTTACGCATGATGGAATTACACTCTAACACAGTGCACAAGTTGTATTTATATATATCCAGGCACCAACCTTTGTCTAAAAAGAGACTCATTTGTACTGCTTGATTGCTGGTATGACCAATCTCTTCTTGTTATCACACCGAAGGTAAAGGGTAGATCTAACCACAATGATCAAGAATGCGAGAAATGGTCATTGAATTAATCCATCTATTATTTCTCTTTCCACCACCACACCTGGTAGGGCATAACAAAAGAGTACAAAGACCAAGGATGAACCATAAATCTGTATAGTACTGGTTCTCTCACCGAGTCACCAACCCTTGCGACTGACTCTCAGGAGAAGTGATATCTGCACATTAGATTGACAAGCTCAAGAAGGAGTTAGACAAACACAGATACTGAATAGAAAACGACTAACATAGGCTAATGGCTTTCTATCCCCAACCAAAAATATCAATCTGGAGAAGTACTATGACTACAATACTCCATATACATTTCATCAGATACAGTCCCACTTGCAATTTTTGTCACTCTGTTATGCCTCAATAGTCCTGTGTATTATTTCGTTGATATGAGGCATAACATTGATATGGCAAATTCCAAGACTAACCACACATTAGTAGAAACATCTCAACTCAGGACATGAGTAGTTGGAAATTGATTGACATGCCAGTAAATCTAAATCATTTATTCGGCTTCTCCTTTGTACTGCAATATTTATCTTTCTTTCTCATAACTTTAAACCCGTTAGTGGGCTTCGACAGTTTGGAGTGGCATATTTAGGTCATGACATAATATCCCCTTTTGTTTTGTAAATCGCATGAGAAGGTTTTAGGTTTACTTTAACTGATTTAATTAGTTGGATGATTGTTTTCTGTTGACTTCTGCGACTTTGTCTGCGGTTTTTAAGTCATCCTGTGTTTATAAATATCTTTGTCAATCGTTAGTCTAACCGGTTACTGTGGATGACCGGACTGAAACCTTCCAGTGGACGATGGTATATGGTGTGACAGCTGCAAGCTCTGGTTCCGTAAAATTTGCACTAGCTCATCACCATCAGCCCATAGGAGATTTAATATCCCTTCGTCTCAGTGGGCGTGAAAATTTCGCGACAGCCCGTTTGCAACAGGGCCGTAGGACCTAATATGTCCAAAAGTTTGACAGAAATTAAGGAGGAGGGAAAACAGGCAGCATCTGAAATCGATGCCAGGAACGAGAATTCTGAACTGAATCATAAAACTGAGAAAGAAATACA